TAATACTTGACCTTGGTTTTGAAGGATGAGAAGGTTTGCAAGGTGAAGAGAGGAAGTTTACCTACAAGCATAGTGGGTATTTTGATTTACCTGTGTGTCTGGCATGTTAAAAAAAAAAAAATGATGGATTTTGTGAGAGGAAGGCAGATGTTAACAGCCAGGTGCCTCCTGAGTTCACATGCAAGCCTATGCCTTGGCAGAGAGAGGAGCAGACCTTCTCTGGAGTAGAAAGCCATCACAGCCCACCTGTGTGAGTTATGAGCATTTTCCAAGCCACATTCACAGATCCTTTGTTTTACAAGATAGCCCTGTCTCTCAGTTGATGTTTAAAAATTAAAGTGTTTTGCATTGAGAAAAGAAAATTAAAGGCTTTTGTAGATGTGTCAACCATACATGAGACTGCCTGCTGCTACCACAGTAGCAGAGATTACCAGCTGATGTGGCATGGTAAGGCTTCCATGTTCCACACCATCTAACCACCTAGTTCCAGGAATCAAATCCAGGTCCTGACACATGATAGGTGTCTTAGGGTTACCATTGCTGTGATGAGACACCATGACCAAAATCAAGTTGGGGAGGAGAGGGTTTATTTCACTCAGAGTTCCAGTTAACAGTTCGTCAATCATTGAGGGCAGGAGTTGATGCAGAGGCCATGGAGGAGTGCTGCTGACTGGCTTGCTTCCCATGGTTTGCTCAGCCTGCTTTCTTGAAGAACCCTGGACCACCAGGTCAGGGATGGCCCCACCCACAGCGGGCCGGGCCCTCCCCCATCAACCACTGCTTAAGAAAACGCCCTTGCAAATAGTCCAGTCTTATGCAGGCATTTTCTCACTTGAGGCTCCCTGCTCTCTGATGACTCTAGCTTGTGTCAAGTTGAGATAAAACCAGACAGAACACTAGGCAAGCACTCTATCAGTAGCTACATGTTAGTCCTAGAAAGTAGTTGTGTTAAGTGTGGTAGCACAGGCCTGAACTCCCATCATTGAGGAGGTGGAGGCAAGAAAATGAGGAGTTGAAGGACAGCCTCAGCTACATAATACATTCAAAGCTAGCTTATTCTACCTGAGGCATGGCCTCAAAAACTGAACAATGACATCTTTAATACAACTCCTTACTTATAAGACATATTCTACGGTCACAGGCAGAGAGCTTCTGGCTCCTTACCTGGACTATGGATGGCTACAGCCTCTACTCTGATTGCTTCATCAAGGAAACACTTAGGAGGCTTGTGCATGCCCATTCCAGCTTTTCAGCAGTCTGAGGCAAGAGGACCATGAATATAGGGCCTGCATGGCTGTAGAGCTGCAGTTAAGGCCAGCCAGGACAACTTAGAAAGACCTTGTCTCAAAATAAAAAAAGAAAGGGCAGGGTATCTCAGTGGTAGAAAATGCAAAATAAAAAAGAAAAAGAAAAAGGAAGGAAGGAAGGAAGAAAGAGAAAGGAAAAAGGAAGGAAGAAAGGGAGAGGGGGGCTGGGATATATTTCATTCAGTAGAATGCTTGCCCAAGGTGTGCAAAGCCCTGGGTTCCCATCCCAGCTCTGCATAAAACCAAACACCATGGCACACATCTGTAATCTCAGCACTCTGGAAACAGAGGTAGGAAGGTCAGAAGGTCAAGGATTGTGGGAGCCATGCAGCCTAGTCTCTGATTGCATATGACTACCTGTCCAAAGGGTTTCCACAGGTCAAAGCTCTTGTGGAAATAGACTCTCACTCAGCAAGGACCAGTCCCAGCATGGACAGCATAGGAATTTGCAAAATTTGTGCAGCCTACAGGCTCTTTTCTCTGTCATTATAATGGTGATTCTTTGGGAGGTTTTTAGTTTTACTTTGTCAGTCACACATGCAACAGCTATAATTTTCCCTGGAAACTGTTCCTTTTCAAATATTTCCCCCCTAAGATTCAACAGGAGACTAATAGTTCTCAAATCTCTTATCTGGAATTACTAACTACAACTCCCAACCCTGGGAACTTTCCTGATTAAATAGAGATAGGTACGCATGAGAAAACAACGCTTGGAACCTTAGCCATGTCTCACAGTGTTGCAAAGGAGAGTAGGGCATACATACCCAGAACAGAGAAACGGCCTCAAGAACACACACAGTGCCAACTGTTGAGTTCCCTGGACACCGAACAAAGAATCAATGATAGGATCTAGTATGATCCAATGGGGGGAAATGTAATGTAAAATATGGTGTGGAAAGATCCATCTTCACCATACACAGGAGCTCGTGTTGGTAAAAGATGCATGATCTAGTGAGATGGGAAGAGTGCCTTATCAAGGTCTGCCTTTTACAGAGAGATTGAGACACTGGGCCCTCTTGTAGAAAAGGGAACTGCATAAAAACTTTTCAGCACAAGTAGCTGCCAGCTGACATAAGTGTCCTGAGAACAGGATGTGTCTAGCTGGATATTTAGTTCAGCCTGCAGAAAATGCTGAACTCTATGTCTAGAATAAGGTTATATGGGGAGGGGGAGGTGTATTTGGGGAAGCATAAAGGGGAACAATGGGGCTTTCATAATGATTACAATGTATTCCATAAAATACAATGTATTTCTTAAAATCAAAAATAGGAGCCATGTAACCCTGGTAAGAACTCTAAGTATAAATAAAGATGGCTTGAGCTCTTCAGGACCTCTTGAGTGCAATCCACTTAGTGCTCAGAAGTTTTCCTTACTCTGATGCCCTTACCCTATCTCAGGACCTGAACCTGAGCTGAGCCTGGACCCCCAGCAAAGGCTATCCTTGGCTATATAGCTAGTTCAAAGCCATCCTGGGCTCAGTGAGACCCTAATCTCAAAGAGAAATAAAAGATGGAAGAAAGAGAGGTGTGGGGGAAGGAGACATTTAGAGCCAGGTGTGGTGGTACATGGCTGTAATCCGGTACTTCTAAATGGAATGCAGAGGATTGAGAATCCAAGGCCAGCCCGGGCTACAGACTGAGACCTTGTCTCCAAAAACAGAGAAAGAGGCAAAGCAAGGCTTCCCATCGCAGGAGAGGCTGCAGCTAGGAGGAGCAGGAGACAGGAGGAAGCACATACAGCAAAAGCCTTTCTTTCTCTGTCCTCTCCAAGTCCATTAACAAAGAGGGGAGCCAGTTTCAAGCCCCAAGGCACCTGATTACTAATCAGATTCTGCCCTACATGTGGACATTTTTATATTAAAAAAATGCTTGTTAAATCATCTCAAGGCTTTAATTACTCAATCTACTTGAAGCTTATGTAAACTCCTTGGAGATTCATGTCAAACTGTTAAACTGAAAAAAAAAAATGCATGAAAAATAGGACTTTCAATGGGCCAGCTTTTCTCTTAGCTGGGTTTTGCCTAGACCATGGTGGTGGTGGGTGGTTGTTAGGAGCACAGAAGGGAAGATGAAGGGGAGAAATCGGTGTTATTTTCTCCTTTCATGGCTACTCTAGTTAACCAGCTACCGCCCTCTAGTGCTTGCTATATAGTTTGCAATATGAAGTCCAAAGTGTGTGTGTGTGTGTGTGTGTGTGTGTGTGTGTGTGTGTGTGTGTGTCACTTGCATGTAGATACCTGCAGGGATCAGAAGGGGAAGGGTGTGTTCAGTCACCTGGAACTGGAGTCACAGATGGCTGTGAGCTGCTGTGTATATATAGGTACTGGTAACTGAACCCCAGGCTTCTGAAAGAGCAGCAAGTGCTCTTAACTGCTGAGTCATCCTTTCAGCCTCCTGAAACCCATTCTTTAAAACCATGTTTAGGGACTGGGAAATATAGCTCAGTCAGGAAAGTGCTGCTATGCAACTTTGAGGACCTAAGTTCGGATCCCAGCAGCCGCTTGAAAAAGCAGAGTGCAATGGTGCATGTCTGTAATCCTAGCCCTGGGAAGCCGAGACAGGATTTCCGAGCTCACTGGCCAGTTAGTCTGGCCAGATGGTAAGCTCTGTATTCAGTGAGACCTTGAATTAAAAAAAAGTGTGGAAAATGATAGAGGTAGTTAATCTTGGTTGTCAACTTGGCACACCTAAGAAACCCAACCCTCAGGTGAAGAACATCCTCCGTCATAGTGGCCTCCGGACATGTCTAATTGATGTACGAGGGCCCAGCCCACTGTGGGTGGTACATTCCCTAGACAGATGGACTTGGGCTGTGTAAGAAAGGGAGCCAGCCAGTTCCCCCATGGTGTCCTGCTTTCCCTCACTGATGGATTTCCACCCAGAAGTGTAAGCCAAATAAACTTTGCCCTAAGTTGCTTTGCTCATGATGTTTATCACAGGAACAGGGGTCAAACTAGATGAACACCCAGCTCTGGACTTTGGACCCTACATAGATGTACATACGCACACACAGATGTGTCCAAACCCATCTACATCTGGATGGGTCTACCCATTGGAATTGGGAGGTGAGGCGCCCACCTGACCTAAATGCCCTTCTACACTCCTGTTTGGCAAACTCTCTTCTGCATAAGCATTTCCCAGAAGTTTCAGAACTTCAGCAAATAAAAAGGTGTAGCATATTAACCCAAATGCTATGTATCACTTCTAATATTATCCCCAGTAAATCTGTAATTGATAGTCAAAAACAAAATCAATAATTTTGAAACTTGGTACAATTTTAGAAAATGTTAACACTTTAAAAAGTTAAGCCAAATCCCAAATGGGTTTGCTTGGCTGTGTATTAGAACTAATTTACTAGCCAGGCATGGGGTACATACTTGTAATCCCAGCACTTGGAAGGTGGAGGCAGGAAGGTCAGTAATTCAAGATCATCCTTGGCTCCATAGAGAGTTTGAGGCCAGTCTAGGCTACAAGAAACATTGTCTTAAATAAATAAATAACAAAAACTAACTTATCGTCGTCTCCATGGTGGATTAATACTCTTCTAAGATTCTCCCAAAGGAGCTCCTTTGGTCATTGATGGGAAGAGAGAGGTTGTCATTTCTTAACATGGAACATATTTTCATCATTTCACCACTTTGCTGGTGGGAAGAAATTGAAAGCTATCCAGCTGGCCATGCCACTTAGAACAATTCTGAGTAACAAGAGATTTATTCAAATATTTAATTGGGGGGAAACACATCTGGAATGAGTTTTATTGGAATCCATATTAAAAAAAAAAAAAAGGAAAGAGAATCCATTAGAACTAGTATCAAACAGTTGCCATTATCTGGAATGAGAAATAGTAATGAATTCCAACTCAGATGGCCTAAACTTATGTTTAGATACAGGTTTCTACTTTATACTCAAGTGGACTTAATATTTTAACTCAGAATTATTTTCAGCTACTATTTTACAGACAGGTCACTTAAATAACTTAGTTTCTTTTATCCTTTCTCTTCTTCTGAAAAAACAAACAAACAAACAGAAAGAGGTTGGGCTGGGGATGAGGCCCAGGAGTAGAGTGTCCAGCATGCAGAAGGCCCTGAATTTGACCTCTAGTGCTACAAAGGAATTTAAAAAAAATCTTTTTTTAATTAAAAATCCAGACAAGGTAGTGAAAACCTGTAACCATGAAGTAGAGGTGGGAGGCAGAGGCAAGAGGAGCAGGAGTTCAAGACCAGCCCCAGCTACCTGAGCCTGTCTCAAAAAGGAAACGAAAATGAAGAAAAGTAGCATTAGAGTCCTTCAAGATATAGTTCCTACTGAGATGGGCTGGGCAGGAGAAACAGGTGCATTTGGCAACGAGTTATTACACCAACTAAGAGATCCCCAATTTGTCTTTAAATGTCGACATAGATGCCATTGATCAAGTAGTCAAGTCTTGAATACCGTTTCCTACGGAGGGATTCTGCCAGCATCCTGCCCAAGAGGACCAGGCCTATTACCAGGAACAGAACGCCAAAGAGGAGGGTCCCAATGAGAAGCCACTTCTCAAATGAAAGTCCATGCTGGCTCTTTGGAACCCTGCTCAGTGATGTGTTGCCTACACTGGCCTTCCCATTCTCCCAGGAAGCCGTCTTGCTTATAACAGAAGACTCTGAGGTTGACGAAGACAGGGCCTCAGAGCTCTTCCCATGCCCCGTGTCTGAGGTTAGCTTGGAGCCTGCTTGAAAGGGTGCGGTTTCTAAGATACCTTTCGAGTTCATATGTGCCTGAGAGGCAGTGGTCAGAGCTGCCTGGCGTGTAACTGCTTGTGTGACACTTGTAGACATGGGGCCTGCAGGAGGCTTCCAGGTCACTGTGGTTAAGGGTGGAGAAGGTGTGGCGGCCCCCTTCTGCTGTAAAGGCACCAGTGTCACTGAGGCACTGGTGAACAAAAGTGCAGGCTTCAGAGTGGCAGGGACATTATGGAGAGAAGCAAGAGCTACAGTGATAGGGGGAGTGGTCACATTTTCAGGGAGCAGGTGAGCCATTTTCAGTTCTGAGGACAGCTCTAAGCTCCGAGACTGGCCCCTTTCTTTATAAACAGGGAGCTGTGTGTTTGTTCCATCAATCTTGATGAGTTTCTGTGAGTGAGCTGAGGCGGTGGACCTCTGAGAAGATACATCTCTCCAAGTCAGACTGGTGGGCTTTGGGTAACCTCTGGGAGGAGGTGCCCGGACAGAGACTGCTGTCGAGGTATGGCCAAGTAAGAGAGATTCTTCTTGTGTTAACTTCTGGAGTGGTGAAGTGGCTCTGGGAAATGGAAAGTCTGAAATATAAAGAAAACAAAAAGGAGATGTGTGGGGATATATTATTTATGATTCGTTAAAGCTTTCCTGAAGACCCAGAAAGCGAAGTCAACCACAAGCCATAGAAGCCAAGCACACACCTTTAATCCCAGCAGCCAGAAGCTGGGAGGTGGTGGTACACACCTTTAATCCCAGGACTCAGGATTAGGAGGTAGACAGATCTCCATGAGTCCAAGGACACCCAGATCTACTCAAGAGTGAATCAGTCTAAAAGAGAATTGTAGCTCACACCTTTAATACCAGGACTAATGAGAGGTTATAAGACAGGAGCAAGGACTCAGTATGAGGCATTCATTCTCCAGCCACGCTGAGGAGAGGCAGCAGTCTGAGACTTGGTGAAGACCTCGTGCGTGGATCAGCCCTTTCAGCCTGAGCTAGAGGTGAGAGCTAGTGGCTGGCTGCTTTGCTTCCCTGGTCTTCAGGTTAAACCCCAATATCTGTCACTGGGTCTTTTATTAATTCATGCTACATATAAGTAAAATACAAATGTCTACTATACCCCCAAGCATACTTGATGCCTGGTTGGTCAGTTGTCTTTTTCTTGTTGTTGTTTTGTTGATTTACAGAAAGGAGAGTCACATGGCTAGAGAGAACCACCATTGAGAAAATGCCTCCATTAGATTGCCCTGTGGGCTAGTCTGTCAAGCATTTTCTTGGTTAATGACTGGTGTGGACGGGCCTGGCCCATTATGAGTGGTGCCACTCTGGGGCTGGTGGCCCTAGAGTGTATAAGAAAGCAGACTGAGCGGAGTGGAAAGCTAGCCAGTGAGCAGCATCCTCCATGACCTGTGCATCAGCTCCTGCCTCCAGGTTCCTGCTGTGGCTTCCCCCAGTGATGAACTGGGATCAGGATGTATAAGCCAGATGAAACCTTTCCTCCCCAGATTGCTCTTGGTCAGTGTTTTATCATAGCAACAGATAGCAAACTAAGACTGACTGATGTAACGTGGGTAGCTCAGTCAGAAGAGCATGAGACTCTTAATCTCAGGGTCATTGGCTATATATAGGGGGAAACGCTGAGCAATCAGAGAGACAAAGGAGCAAAACCACAGCGATCTTACCTACTCAACTCCCCAACCAAAAAGAGACTGAGCTCCCATCTCCTCCCCTTTATCACTTCCTCTTTCTGCCCAGCCACACCACTCCCTGTCTTTGCAGACCTCCAGACCTCTATGGTTAACTAGTGGCTAGCTCTGCCCTCTGATCTTCAGGCAAGTTTTATTTGTTAGAGTAGAAACAAGATATCACTACAGACTGACAACTTGTCTCTCTCTCTCTCTCTCTCTCTCTCTCTCTCTCTCTCTCTCTCTCTGTGTGTGTGTGTGTGTGTGTGTGTACTTGTGCACACATGCTGGAAATGAACACAAGGCCATCCTGTACACATTAAGCATGCATTGTACCACTTAGCTAAACCTCAGCCTCAGATACTTGATAATCCACCAAAGCATATATACAATAGAAAAACACAAATTACAAATGATCACAGCAGTGTCTGTCTACCTCATGGTGTGGTTTATTTCTAGCTTGGTGGGACAGAAGAGAAGAGAAAGTGGGGAGGGGTAGCAACGAGCCCGAGAGGAGAGCCATGTGGAAGGCATGAAGAGGTTTAGGGAGATGCAGATGGTGCAGGGCAGGGCAGGCAGGGCCAGGGTGGCCTGACCAGGATGGGTACTGGCAGGGAAAATGCTGATATGAGACAATCGTCCCTGTAGACAGGTCAACTGTCTATGAGACAGCTAATCATGCAGACCAATGCTCCAGCCTGGGCGTGGGATGGCTGAGAAAGAGCCTTGGAAGCCTTGGTAAAATGAGGAGTCTGGGGAGGCAGAGTCCTGACAACAGGTCTTCAGCAGTGACAAGGGTTTGAGAGAAAGGTGGAGGAGTGGACTCCGAGGGTCGAGGGACTTGTCGAAGAACGCCGAGCCAAAGAAATAGCTCAAGGCAGATAACATTTTCCAAGTGAAGTCGGGGGTGGACGCTTCTGGAGTGTTATCAGAAGAGGGAGGCTATCCAGGAGACTCGACTCTGACTCTCAAGGCTTGGGATTGCAGAGAGAATGCCTTAGGTTGTGAGTATGATGTTTGAAATCATAATGCCCACACTGGATAGGAAGAGTGTGGCTATTCAGACCAACTCCTAAGGTGGGGATTTGACGGCCAGAAAACGCTCATGGTTTTGCTCTGAGCCACACAGCTAATCATCGCAGTCCAGACTAGAAAAGCTTGTTAAGGCAGTCGAGTACAGTGAGGGCTAAGTTGCTCAGAATGAACTCTGCTCCTTGGCTGTTTTGATAGTGCCAGAACTGCAGGGCTGGGCTGGGAATGTACTCAGTTGGTAAGGCACCTTGTCCAGCAAGTGTGAGCCTGGGGCTCCACCCCCAGCGTCCCCTGAATTGCGCACAGTGGGACACACCTCTAATCCCAGCATCCAGGAGGTGAGAGCAGAAGCCACTGCTCAAGGCCATTCTCAGCTGCTGCATAGAGAGGTCAAAGCCACCAGGGTTACACGAGACCCCATCTCATGCACTAAAGAGAACCAGGACAGAGAAAACAAGACAGAAAGTTCTGCAGGAAACACAGGAGGCGGCAGCCTCTGCTCTCCTTTTCTTTTTCATGGTCCAAAGTCACCTCTCCTAACAGAGGCCACTCCAGAGGCATGACAGTTTGCGAGAGCTCGAAAATCCTCACCTTTGCATGGTTCTTTATCATTTATTTCAGCTTTAAAATTACTTTTAAGCTTGTATTTGTGTGTGTGGGGGCACATGCCCAGCATGTGTGTGTATGGAGGAGGACAACTTGTACAAGCCTGTTTTCTCCGATCATGTCAGTCCCAGGGTGCAGACTCAGGTCATCATGCCTGGCATCAAATGCCTTTACCCATTGAGCCATCTTGCTGGCTCCATTTCATCTCCCTTTTGAGAGAGTCTCACGTAGCTCAGGCTCTTCTTGAATCTGATATGTAGTCAAGGCTCATCTTGAACTCCTGATCCTTCTGCCTTCACCCTGCTGGAACTACAGGCATGTAACCCCCCACCCCACTCCCCAGACTACATGAGCCTTTAAAACCACCACTTGACTCATCTAGGGCATGGCTTAACAGGAATGACCAAATCCTCCCTGCCACCTACCTTTCTGTGGTTTGCAAGCTGTGGATGAAGTTTACATTTTTAAATGGCTGAAAATAACCAAAAGAATTTTTTGACATGTGGAAACCATACACCATTTGAATTTTAGTGTTCTTCAACCAAGTTTTACTGGTGTCCAGAATAGAAGTTCATTTATTTACATATCCCCTGTGGCAGCTTTTATACTGCAAGGTCAACCGTGAATAGATCCAACTGGCCGCATATGGCCAAAGTACTTCAAACACAGGCCTCCAAAACCTAAATACTATTTGACAGTAGACAGAAAAACTGTGCTCTAGGCTACTGTACTCTAAAATAGAAATAGGGTGTACTGGCGATGCCCATAATCCAAGCACTCCAGAACTAGAAGGGTCAAGAGTTCACAGTCATCTTCAGCTACATGGTGAGTTCAAGGCCAGCCTGGTTTACATGAGACTCTGTCTCGAAACATTTCTCCAATAATCCCCCAAATCAGGGTGCCTGAGCTTCCTCTTTCCTCCATCAGCACAGGCAGGTCTCTGTCTCTCTGTCTCTCTCCCTCTGTCTCTGTCTCTCTCCCTCTATGTCTCTCTCCTTCTGTCTCTCTCATTCTGTGTCTCTGTCTCTCTCCCTCTGTCTCTTTCCTTCTGTCTCTGTCTCTCTCCCTCTATGTCTCTGTCTCTCTCCTTCTGTGTCTCTGTCTCTCTCCCTCTGTGTCTCTGTCTTTCTCTGCTCCTCTCTCTCTTTAAATATCATCCTTGTTTATTTTTTAATATATTACTACAGGTGATGTCACCGTCCGTAACGTTAGGTATTTAATAAAAATGGTTACTTAGGGACTGGGAATATAGTTTATAACAGGTATTAGGTCCCAAGGTGGATCCTCATGACCACACACACACACACACACACACACACACACACACACACACACCTCAGCACGTTTCATTTTAAAGTAAAAAAAAAAAAGTCAGTTAGATTTTTCAACTGGGCTTCCTGAAAAGCCTGAGTTCTGTCAGTTCCTTAGACCTACATGGCAGGAGAAAATCAACTCTTACAAGTTGTCCTCTGACTGCCTCACTACCAACACGATGAGCTACACACACACACACACACACACACACACACACAAAACATTAAGACCTTTAAATAATATTCTAAAATAATGGGCAGCAAGAACAAGACTATTTAGCTGAATGACCTGTAGTCTGTATGTTAGAAGTTAGATATGTCCATTGACAAGCTTGACCAAAACAGCTGTTTACTTTCTCAAGCCTGTGTGCTCAGCTGTAATGAAAAGCCGGCACCGGCCCCTTTTGATAAGATACACGTGTTGGCAAAGAGCCTGGAAGCACCCAGAACCCTCCACAGCTGTTCCTCTCGCCTCGCACACTGCTGTTCGCACTGGGCGGGGCTTCTCTTTGTGGATATAAGGCACCGGACAGGGAAACAGCCCTGGGCCTTCACCTCTTTGAGTCTCATTTCTCAAGGGATTTTACTGAGTAAATAAATGAGGGACTATTTCTTGGAAACCAGCTAAGCAAACAGACTTCCCATTTATTGGGTTTCTGAATGCTCCCATTCTTACGGTGCTTGGTAGAAAAGATACATCCCTAAACTATTAAAGACACATTGATGCTAAGCTGCAGAGTCCATTGTCATCTTTCAAAGTGTCAGTCTGTAAGTATTAGTCAGTCGGTTACAGGAAATAGAAGTTCCTTCAGAAACAAACCAAACAGACATTTACATTTCATTTCAGTTCAAACAGGATAACTTATGATCACTGGAATAACTCAGCCCATAAACACGGGTGTATTTATAAATAGAATTAAGAACATAACTTGTATACATCCTGTAGGAATAAACAGTCCTCTGCATGTGTCCAGGGTCTGGTGTCACTGCCAGGAAAAATCCTAGCACCTGCTCTGTGCTCATGATGCCCCCTGGTGGATACCAGCAGAACAGCTTGATTCCAGCTCCCACACCTTTGTACCGGCCCTTAAAAGGTTCCTACCTAGGCAGGCCACCTTCCCTTTCTTCTGCTATCTGCCAACACCTTTATCTTGTATTTCTTCTTTCATACATCATAAAAGCAATAACTGTACAGAAGTATTATGAAAATTAGAAGACTTAACCTTCCATTGTAACTTATGTCCCCGTAGCAGATCGTTAAAACAATCTGTGCTTTTTGTACCTGTTCAAGGAAGTGTTTGGCACATTGGGTTTCCCTGGTTCTGGAACAAACTTCAGGCACCCCCCACACCCCCCACACCCCCGCTGAGAAAATGAAGCAGTCAGCACCGGTGTGCCCCTAGTAGTTCATTCCACAAAGCACTCCAACCTAACGGCAAGGGAGAACCCTTCATTCTACTCCACCTCCTGGCTTTAAAACTGCTTGTCTCAAAATCCCTTAATGTTCAATTCAAAAACCAGGTCTCGGCCTTCTTGTGCTCATTTCCTTGACTACCAGCAAGTCCTACCAACCTTACCTTTCCCCAACTCCTTTGCCACCTCTACATTTCATCTTCCACCTCTCCCGATCTCCTTTACCATCTCTCTGGACCTGGGTTCAATCCCCAGCACCCACATGGCAACTTACAACTACCTGTAACTCTACTTTCAGGGGTCCAACACCCTCAAACATACATTCAGGCAAGATACCAATGCACATAAAAATGAAAACCTTCAAAAAATACAAAACAAAAACAAAACAAATTATTTGGGCAAACAAGATGGCTCAGAGGGTGGAGATGCTTACCGCCCACGCCTGCAACGCAAGACCTGAGTAAGATACCCAGAATGCACACTTAGGAAACTAAGTGTACAAGGCCTCTCTCTGCCCTCCACGCATGCCATGCCATGTGCACACGTGCACGAGCATACTCCCCTGTGAACTCCTTTTACACCTGGAATAAAACCCACCTCCTCTACATGACAAATGCACTGTGGTCTGGTCTCCCTGTCTCTCCCCGCCCCCTGCCCCCTGCCCCCATTCCCTGCACAGCTTACTATGCCTCCAAGGGTTCAGAATGGGCGACTGGCCTTCAAACATTCCAAATCCACTCTGCCTGAGGATCATCATCATCCTGGAAGGCCTTCTCCATCCTCTCATATCTGGTCCTTGGCTTTTCAGATCTCAGTCCAGGGGTTACCTGTTCACTGATCACCTAACTTAGGGGGTTGCCTTGGTGGTTATTCTGTTGGATAACCTCAGCCCTGCACAGCCCTGTGACTTCTTTAAAGGACAACCTCAGCCCTGCACAGCCCCATGACTCCTCTACTCTCTTCTCCAGCATACATTATGGATATTATCTCCATCCCCCCAAAAGTCAGTTTCAGAAGAAACAAGAACTGTGGTTTTCATGTTCAGTCTTCATCCCTGTAGTAGAAAAAGTGTGCCGATGCATAAGAAATGCTAAATAGCATTTGTTAGTTATTTAACAAATGAAAAGATAGAATATTAACAACTAAAAAAAAAAAGAATATTAACAACTAACAGTTCTCTTGTAGGCTAGCCTGGGTTACATAGAAGAGTTTGTCTTCTTTTTTTTTTTTTTTTTAAAGAAAAGGTTTCATAACAGACCTGTGCACTTTTAATAATATGAAGGTAAAACAAAATAGAAAAAAATACTGCCAGATGCTATTATAAGAAAATATATTTTTGTTTAATGAACTTCAAATCATGAAATATTTATGAACCCTTTTGGTACTCAGACTCTTACAGGGAATCTTCCACAGAAACTGAAGCTTTAAAAGAAAGAGGACAATGCCTTCATTACCTCTGATGAGCCTGTAGCTCATGAGTCCCTTTGCTGGCTTCAGTGGACAGGCTTCTTCACTGGGACAGAAGAACAGGTAGCAGTTGGGCTGTCTGGCTGTCTTCCGGGTGTCGAAGATCATCAGGTTACAGGGTCTATCCCCTACAATGAGAGCGTTTTAGTGTAGTGCAAGCTGGAGGAGCCTTACCAGGAGTACTCTGTTCTCTCCTCTGCCGCTCAGGTCATTTCCTTTTGATTAGTTTAATGGTAGAAAGCAACTTCAAAAGACACTGACTTGGTTTATAAACCCAAGTTAAGTTAATCTTGGAAAAACCATTTTTTTAATTTAAAATTTTATTATTATTGTGTGTGTGTGTGTGTCTGCACACGTCTGTGTACCATGTGCATACAGTGCTTACAGAAGCCAGGAGAGGGTGGCGTCAGATCTTCTGTTACTGGAGTTACGGATGGTTGTGAGCATCACGTGGGTGCTGGGATCCAAACCTGGACCGTTTGGAAGAGCAGAGTGCTCTGAATCACTGAGCCATCTCTTCATCTCCTGAAACAAAGTCTTTAGCAGCACATTTAGTTCTCTCGGGATAAATCTTCTATTTGTTAAAATAGCTTTCAGAGGCTAGAATGATGGTTTGCACCCCAGCACATACATGATGCAATCATCTGGAACTCCAGTTCTAGGGGATCTGATGCCTTCTTCTGGTTAAGCACACACATGATAAACAAACGTATATGCAGTCAAAACACATATACACATAAAATAAAAATAAGCTTGAGAACCACCCCCCCTAATCCTATGGATTAGCTAGGTGTGGTAGTACAGACGTATAATGTCAGCACTCAGGAGGTAGCAGCTGGAGAATCAGGAGTTCAAGGCCATCCTCATGCAGCTACATAGCGAATTTGAGGCCAGTCTATAAAAAAACATCCTATCTCAAAATGCCAAACTCTGCAGATAGGAAAGAATTTTCTCTCACCAGGATTCTACTGCTTCTCCCCTCCATCACTCACTCAACCTGGGACAGCCCTGCGTTTCCTTTTCCAACAATGCATGCCTGCAGTAGCGTTTGTGAAGGTTAATATCACTGTCAACTTGATGGGTCTGAGATGCACCTAAGAGTTAGTGAAGCTCACTCCTGGGTGTGTCCTGAGTCTACTTCCAGAAAGGATTAACTTAGGGGGGAAGCTTGACCGTGGGTACGTTATCCCTTAGACTGGAGACCCCAATAAGGCAGAATAAAATGGGGGGAGTGATGCTAGCTGGGTGGGTGGTACAGTTAGGTAATCTTAGTAGTTAGGAGACCAAGGCACAGGGGTCAGGAGCTCAAGGGCATGTGTTTGAGACTATCTTAAGCTACATAACACCCAGTTGCAAACAAAAGCTGGGCATAGTTGTACATTCTGTAATCCCAGTACTCAGGAGGCAGAGGCAGGAGGATCATCCCAAATTCATGGCACTCTAGTCTGTACAGTGAGACACTGTCTCAAAAACAAGCCAACAAAACAATTTATGGGAAATATGAATATTATCTGTGAGGACTGAATACTGATGTGTGGGTGTTACCTGGTGACATAGAAAACCAGGCATTTGTCCTCAACTCCAAGAACTGAGGCCCTCCCTGCCTTATGGTACAGTGAAAATACACAGTTCTCTGCCTTGTGGTACAGTGAAAATACTCACACAGTTTTGCCACCCATGGATCTTAGTTCACAGATTCTTTTTCCTTTTGTTGTTTTACATTTTTATTTATTTGTTTGTTTGTTTTTATTAATCTATTTTACATCTCAGCTGCAGCCTCCCCCCATCCTCCCCTCCCAATCCCTCTCGCTTCCCTCTCCCCAATCCCATCCTCCTCCATCTCCATCCAGGAAAGGACAGGTCTCCTATTAGTATCAATAAAACATGTCATATGAAGCTGTAGTAAGATTAGGCACCTCCCCATATAATAATTAAGGCTGGGTAAGGCAATCCAATATGAGAAGTGGGGTCCCAAAAGCCAGGGGAAAAGTCAGAGACTATTCCTGTTCCCACTGTTAGGAGTCCCATAAGAACCAAGCTACACAACTGTAACATGCACACTCCCTGGTTGTTGGTTCAGGCTCTCTGAGCACCTATCAGCTCAGGCTAGTCATTTGTGTGAGCTTTCCCTTGGTGTCCCCTCCCCACTTATCAGCCATTAGAATAAAGACTACAGATTTATAGACTGTAGGAAGATGAACGTCAACACGAAGGACACAAAATTTTGCTTGTGATTTGGGTTTTTTTTCTGGACCTGCCACTTTACCTAAGATCCTATTACTATGACAAAATAACTGACATAAACAGAGAGAGCAAGGATCTGCTCGAGCCCTTGGTGCCCGAGGCCTTAGTCTAGTCTCGTCCAGGGTGGTATGGAACTCATGATCATCTGAGGGCTGGGATTTCAGACATGCGTCAATCACCGTGTTCACCTCTATTTCAGATAAATGTTTGTCTCCACGTTTGGGAGATCAGGCTTTAACCCCCGAGCTACTGAAGCTTCCACATCAACATTTATATATTTTTAAAAGGCAGGGATTTAAGTTAAATCTCTATACTTTCTATAAAGCACAGCACCAGACAGCTTACTGCTCAATTTGAGGCCATCAAAGGGCTACTTCCTATGGATATCTAGTATAGGGTCTCTTTCCACAGCATCCCTCCAAATGCTTGCCAATGACTACATCCTAGTTCACCTGACTCCTAATCTAACCCGCTGGGTCAGCACCAGACTCAACAGGCTTACCGGTTCTCTCCTGCAAGCCTGCTGTCCTCTCAGAAGCCAGTGGTAAGTACCAGGTCTCAGGTTTCCAAACTCAGTGACTTGACTACAAACTCAGAGGTTGCCACAACCCTGTCCCTTCCAGTTTAATAATTTGCTAGTCTGGCTCATAGAACTCAAAGAATAGTTATATTTATAATCATGTTGCAAGATGAAGGCCAGAAATTGTTTTGGCATGTGCGCTGGCTATCAAGCCCAGGGCCTCCCCCATACATAATATAAAGGATCCAAATGAACAGTTGGATGAAGGGGTACGTAAGGAGAGGCAGAGAATTGTCACCAGTGTAGGAGCTTCATTTCTCATGGAGTCAGGGGATATCTTCTTACCACACAAGCATATCCACCCACCTATCTGGAAGCTCTCCAAAATTCATCCTTTAGGGACCTATATGACAGCTCTATTGTATAGTCATAATCACTTAAAGTTGCCAATCCTTTGGTTTGGTGACCCCTCCCTGGAGTACTAGGGCACAGGGCTGAGTGTCCCCAGCTTCTGACCAGAGTTTGCTCATTCTCATGATCAGCAACATCTAGAACAGTCTGTGAGCCTGCTAACGTAGCCTCAACTAGCACAAGTAAGTTATAGTTGAAAGGTACTCACAGTCATGGGACCTGCTCCTGTCCGTACATGCCAAGGGCTTAGGAGCTCTGTGCCAAAAACACAGGTCAGCCTGTGTGTAACCCCAGTAACTCAGAAGGCAGAGGCAGGAGATTCACAAGTGCTAGTTTTAAAGGCAGCCTGACAATTTTGTGAGCCCATGTCTCAATTACAAAGTACAAAGTTGGGGGCTGGAGGCAGCTCAGTGGTTCAGAGCACTTGTTGCTTTTACAGAGGACCCAGGTTTGGTCCCCAGCACCCACACGGCAGCTCACCTGTAACAGCCTCAGGGGGTCAGACACCCTCTTCTGGCCTCCACTGGTACTGCACCCACATGGTGCACATACACTCATGACATAAAAACAAACCTTTCTTGTTCAAGTAAAAAGAGGACTGGGGAAAAGAGCTGAGTGGGGGAGGACTTACCTAGCATACATGTCCATGAGACCACGGGTTTTGTTCTCACTTACAGCACCACCAAAAAATAAGGACCCGAGACAAAGACTACATATACATTCCTTATGCCACAGCATCATAGGAAGAGAAGTTCAAGAACAGACACCTGCTTATTGTCTCGCCCAGCACTGTTTCATGGTCCTTGATGGCGACATCTTCTGGTCCCATGTACTAATTCTAGCACTTAGCAAGGTGTGGCACACTGGACAAAGTCAACATTGTTTCGTGTGGAGAATTCAGACAGAGTCTTGCAGCCAGATCCCCATTCACGCTTCTCTTTTCAGTTTGAAGCCTGGAGTGTTTGAAGGCATTGGTTTAAATCCATGAGCCTGTTTTCTGTGTCCCATAAATGTTTTCAGAGTAAATGACTCCATCCTGGACCAGCAAGGTGGCTCATCTGGTGAAGGGGGTGCTGCGTAAGCCTGGTGACCTGAGTTTCATCCCTGAACCCATCTGAGGTACACATGGACACACTTACCAGCAACTTTAATACAGCTCTGGGGAGGGATGGTGGAATGTGCTCATGGACAATTCCCCAGTAACTGTTTCACTTGTCTTTCTGCTCCACTGAGAAGCACTGGTGCAAACGAACAAGCCACGCCCTCCAACTACCTTGCTGCAAAACACTCAGCCACAGCTGGCAAAACACACACACCGCAGCTGGCCGTGTTACTTACCCGCTATGTTTTGTGTTGAACAGCAGGCACCGATGCAGTCTTCCTGAGTTACGGTGTAGATGGGCTCATTGCCCCTGATTCCTTTCGAAAGGGAGGACTGGATGTCAATGACCGCATCCTCTAGACTCTCGGTGAGGCACTTCTGAGCAGCGGCCAGCCTTGGTGTCAGGAAGCAAATTATCACCAAAGTATAAGCCCAGCTCCGCTCCTCCTGGAAGAGCATTCTGAACTTTTGCTAATCCTGGTCTCTTCAGAGGTCAAGGTGACTCTTCTGGTCTCAGTTTACTTCAGGAAGATTATACGGGGTCACTTCCCCCTAGAACAACAACAAAGACAGAAACTTATCAATGACCCTTGGGAGGCTGAAGCAGGAGGACCATGAGTTCAAGGCCCACGGGGGTGTGGTGACATTTTGTTTATGATCTAACAAATAAAGCTTGCCTGAAGATCAGGGTGCAAGGCTAGCCACACTAGTTAGCGATAGAGGCCACGCAGTGGTGGCATACACCTTTAATCCCAGCACTCAGGAGACAGAGGCAGACAGATCTCTGTTAGTTCAAAGCCACCCTGGGCTACATGAAACCAGAAAAGAGCTCACACAAAGGAGATCCCAGCACTTGGAGTGACACGCCTTTATTCCCAGCACTAAGGAGATGGATACAGGGGTGATATGGCTGGGTGGAGAGAGGAATATAAGGTGGGAGGAGACAGGAGAGAGATGCAATCTGAGGAGCAGTGACGTCTCAGGAACAGTGAGGTCTAAGTAGTCTGAGGATGCAGTCTGAGGACAGGATACCGCTTTGGCCTGAGCATTGGTAGAGGTGAGAACTCTCTAGTGGCTGGCCACTTTGCTTCTCTGATCTCCAGCTTTAACCACAATATCTACTCTGAGTTGTTATTATTAAGAACAATTAGAATTTGTGCTACATAGTGGAGCTATAGGCCAGCTTGGGCTACAGTGTAAGGCAGCTCAGTGGGTAGGAGCACTTGCCAAGTTCTATCATGAGCACAAGGGTTTGGATCTTAGCACCATGTTCACTGGTTCACAAACTGCCTATAGCTCCAACTCTAAGGATCTGACACCGTCTTCTGACCTCTCATAGGCACTAACACAGAGAGAGACAGACAGACAGCACACACACACAAAACATAATAATACTCAAAAAAACCAAACAAGAATAAAAAGCAAATAATAATAATAGTTAACAAATAAAAGCTGGAAACACCCGTGAAGAGGTATAAATGGAAATCTTGCCTGTGAGTCTGACAACTCTTTTTCATCTGGTCCCTGGTTCTGCCTGCTAAGTGCTGGAATTAAAACTGTGTGCTACTACATGTGGCTGTGTGTGTGTGTGTGTGTGTGTGTGTGTGTGTGTGTGAGAGAGAGAGAGAGAGAGAGAGATACATGTGTATGGGTGGGTGGGTGTGGTTATTTAAATGAGAAATGTCCCCCATGACTCATGTGTTAGAACTTTCCCACTTTGGGGAAGGTTATGGAACCGTTAAAATATACACCATGCAGGAGGAAGTACGTCACTGGAGGTGGGCTTTGACAATTTATAGTTTTGTCCCACTTCCTACTCCCTCTTCCTCCTTCCCCTCCCCTCCCCCATTTTCTCTCTGCTTTCCTGTGTAGATAAGATGTAATCAGCAAGCTTCCCCATCCTGCCTTTCTGGCCATTATAGACTCTCCCTCTGGAATTATAAACCAAAATAACGATTTTCTTCTATAAGCCACTCTTGCTCAAGGTACTCTACCCTAGCACCAATAACAAAAATAACCAATATAGTGTGCATGACCCTACACGTGTGTGCGGAGGCCAGAGAGAATGTTGGGTGTCCTGATCTAGCATTCTCCAGCTTATTCCCCAGGGATAGGGTTTCTGCTGGGCTGGCTTGCCATGACACTCCCTACCCTCACCTTCCAATGCCCAGCACAGTGGTTATGCAAATACATGGTATGCCTGGCTTTTTATGCGGGTGCTGAGGATTCAAACTCAGATACTCATTTGAGCAGCGTGTGCATTACCCACTGACTCAGCCTCCCAGCTCCCAATGTCTGCTGCTTGAAGCTCTCTTTGACTACGGTCTCCTTTGATAATCAAAGAACGGGTAGGCTCTATCCTGAGAGAAATGCATGCATGAGGAGTGGACGAGGCAGAGCAACGTTAGGACACTTGCACAGCATACCTTCGCACCCACTGGAAGCTGCTTATATTAGCAAAACGTTTCAGCTACAATTCAGCTGGTACTGTTCATGTAACAGCTGCTAAGCTCAGTGTTTGGTTCCCAGCACAACATATACAGGGCCTGGCAGCACACACCTATAATCCCAGCCCTCAGGATGTAAAGACACAGTTAGAAGTTCAAGGTCATCCTTGACTACATGGCCGGTCTAAGATATATAAGACCCTGTTTCAAAAAGACAAACCAAACCAAACAGGATAGTTTTCTTGTTGCTGTTTTTAATGTACCTACAAAACTAATGAGAGCTGCCGGCCTAGATTAGTGGTATATAGCTCAGTTAGTGTGCAAGTTCCTGGGTTCAATCCCAAGCATCAAAAAAACTAAACAAAGCAAAAAACTAGCAAACATACTTGACAAGACTAGGAGGTGGTAGTGCACAGCTTTAATCCCAGAACCAGGGAGGCTGAGGTCAGCCTGGTCTACAGAGCGACTCACGCTACACTTAGTGAAAGCCTGCCTCAAAAAAAAAAAAAAAAAAAAAAAAAAAAAAAAACCTTTAAGGAAAGAAATCAAAGACTAAGTAAATGGAAAGTCTATGTTTGTGGTAGGAAGATTATTATTAAGACATCAGTTCCTCCTGATATCATCTATAAATTCAACCCTAGCAAGTCACTCTGGATAACCCCAAAACAATTTTAATAATGACATGGGAATGCTGAGACCCGTGAGAGTCAGTGAGCACAATAGTGGAGAATGTGTGCAGACAACAATTCCTCTTTCAATGATTACTACAAAGTGACAGTTACTTAAGGGGAAAAAAGTGTACGGCAGAAGAACAGACAAATAGGTTAACAGAAAGGGTTAAAGCCCATGAGGAGACACACACACAAATACAGACAATTAATCTTCAGCAAAGGTGCGAAGGCAACTCAAATACAGGGCTGGGAGCTAGAGAGATGGCTTGGTTTCAGAGAGCATTTGCTGTTCTTGCAGAGGCCTGGAGCTTGGATCCCAGCACCGCCTTAGGGGGCTCACAGCCACCTGTAAATCCAGCCCCGGGGGGCTCTAACACCCTTTCCTGGCTTTTGCACACATGTGTACATATTTACAAATCAACACATAAATAAAAATAAACTATATTAAAAAATAGTGTTAGGACAGCGGGACAGACTCATGTAAAATAAACGGAGAACAAGGACTCAAATGGATCCCAGCCACAAATGTGTAGCATAAATCTATATAATTCCAGGCAATAACAGAGGAGAAAAGTCTTCGTGTTCTTTGATTAATTAAATGGTGTGTTTTTAGATGCAACAGCAAAAGTACAATCCCTAAACAAATCTGTTGTTTTAAAATTACACTTATTTTATGTGTATGAGTATTTAGCCTGAATGTATGTATATGAACCATTGCCTATCTGGGTCCATAGATGTGAGAAGAAAGCATCCCCCGACACTGGTGTTACAGACAGTCGTGAGCCACCATGTGGATGCTGAGACTGAACCCAGGTCCTCTGCAAGAACAACCAGTGCTCTTAAGCACTGAGCCGTGTCTCCAGCCCCTGCATATTCAATACAAACTAAAAACTGCTGCTCTGCAAAAGCCAGTGTTCTTCCCTTGTGGGGTGTGTGTGTGTGTGTGTGTGTGTGTGTGTGTGTGTGTGTGTGAGAGAGAGAGAGAGAGAGAGAGAGAGAGAGAGAGAGAGAGAGAGCAGCTGCGCTTGCCTGTGGGGTTGATGTTCAGATCTTCCCCAATGGCTCTTCCATCTTCTTTTGAGGCATGGGTTTTTGTTTTGTTTTGTTTTTTGAGACAGGGTTTCTCTGTATTGCTTTGGAGCCTGTCCTGGAACTTGCTGTGTAGACCAGGCTGGCCTTGAACTCACAGAGATCCGCCAGCCTCTGCCTCCCAAGTGCTGGGATTAAAGGGCATGCACCACCAACGCCCAGCTGCTTACTGCCCGGCGAGGAATGAATGGGTTTTGAACCAGACACAGAGCTTGCTGACACAGGTAGTCTCTCTAGCCAGCTTGCTTAAGGATCCTGTCTCTGCCTCTCAAAGGCTGCTCAGCCCACCCAGCACCTGTGAGGGCTGGGATCCAAACTCCAGTCCTCATGCTTCCCACGCTGAGCTTTACATCACCCCAGCCACAGAGAGGATAAATGTAAAACACCTGTCTGCTAAAGGCCTGACATCTGAAACATACCAAGAATTCCCAACAAGAAGAGAGTGGCAGAGGCAGGCAGACATCTGTGAGTGCGAGGCCAGATTGATCTATATACTGAGTTCCAGGCCAGCCAGGACTGCATGGTGGGACCCTATCCAAAAAACAAAAACAAACAAAAAATTGCAGAAACAAACAAACAGAAACAAACCCCAAACTAAACAACAAAAACAAAAAATCAAAAATGGGAAAAATATCTGAGATGTCACCAATTTATATACAGTATTATATATGTATATGTATACATATATATGATGACAAATAAACACACTAAAATGCATTGCATCAACATTGCATCACCAAGGAACTGCAATTTAATCAACACTGAGACACTATCACATACCTATTAGAAAGGTAAAAATCCAAGAAACACCAAACACTGACTAAGATATGGACCAACAGGACCTCCCATTCCTTGCTGGTAAAATGCAAAACGGTAGAGCCACTCTGGGAGAAGTGTGGTAGTGCCTTTCCAAAGCTTAAAGGTCATCTTGCCATACAATTCAGCAATTGCCCTACATGTATTTATCCAAATGCATTAAACACTGTGTCCAGGGGCTGGAGGGATGGCTTAGCTACTAAGAACAGAGACTGCCTTTCTGGAGCTGTCAAACTCCAAACTCTAAGAGGAACTGACACCCTCTTCTGGCCTCTTCAGGCACTGTAGGCTCATGCACAAACCAGGACATACACCCACACATAATTAAAATTAAAATTTTGAAAAGCTTGCTTCTAAACAAACAAAAGTCTGCATGGGATTATAGCAGCATTCTTCCAAATTGCTAAGCTAGAAACAAGACATTATTCCATACGTGGATACATAAACAAGACACAACCATATATTTAAATATTATTCAGCAATAAAAGGAAATGAAGTATCAAGCAACAGAAAAATGGGGGCGGTCTTCAACTGTAAATTGCTAAGTGAAAGAAGACAGTCTGAACTCTGCATTTGACTCAGAATATACTCTGATAGTCTGGAAAAACCAAACCAAAAAATAGTAGAACTGGGGCTGGAGAGATGGCTTTGAGAGTAAGTTCGTAGACTTGTCTCCTAAAGGATCCTGGCTCTAGTACCAGCATAGGAATGGTGGTTTAGAACTATTTGGTTTGCTTGTTTTGTTTTTCCAGGACTGTGTAACAACCCTGGCTGTCTTGGAGCTTGCTTTGTAGACCAGGCTGGCCTGGAACTCACTGAGATCCACCTGCCCCTGCCTTCCAAATGCTGGGATTAAAGGGCATGCACCACCAACACCCAGCTGCTTACAGCTATTTGTAACTCAATCCCAGGTGCTATGGTGCCCTCTTCTGGCTTCCTTGGGGAGTGCACACAGGTCGGGCATAGACATATAAGCAGGCAAAACACCCATGCACATAAAATAAAAGGAAAAGGAGAATTTTATTTTTTCTTTATTACTGGTGTTTTTGAGGCAGGGTCTTTCTACATTGCCTTTGCTGTCCTAGAACTCAAAATGTAGACTAGGCTGGCTTCAAACTCACAGAGATCTGCCTGTCTCTGCCTCCCAGGTGCTGAAATTAAAGGTGTGTACCACAAGCCTGGTGAAAAAAAAAATTTGAAACCCTAAAAATATATCAGAGCTTACTAAGTGGGGCAGAGGGTGGACAGAGGGTGGACAGATGTGGTACAAAGGCTTCTTTGTGCTGTGTGATTACTCTGTATGATACTATAATGGCTATGTCATTGTATATCTACTAGACACACGTCACACTTCAGGTGAACCCTTCCCAAATAATGAACTTTAGTGCTTAACCAACAAAAGTTAGCATACAAAGACAGCCTATGATGATAGACAAGTGTGACTGTTATTACATCCAGCTTCTGTGTACAGTCAAATGGAAACACGTATCATCTTCACATATCAGTCTCTACGTTCTTTATACAGATCATGTCCTCATGTCCTCACAAGAAACCCAGTGTACCCAGCATGGAGTTCACATCTGACATCCCAGCACTTGGGAAGATAAGGCAGGAGAACCAGGCTTTAGGATAGCCTGAGCTACCCAGCGAACTCCCGGCCAGCCTAGAATACAGTAAGACCTTTATTTAACACACACACACACACACACACACACACACACACACACACACACACCCCTTTACAGAGTATCACACGGCAGGTTGAAAGAGACAAACCACACAAGAAAACATGAGAACTTTTCCACTTGTCCCTTTGAACGAGAGAGAGAGAGAGAGAGAGAGAGAGAGAGAGAGAGAGAGAGAGAGAGAGAATATCCTCACGAACAGCCCATTTTGGTCCCACCTCCAGTTAAGACAAATAAAAAAGCTGTGCGGTATACATGCTTCTTTATTAGTAATCACAATAATGAGTGGAATAGCAAATAACTGCCACAACTGTGTAGTGTCGAGTATAATCTTTTGAGGTGTTGGCAACGAGGAACACCTACAGGAAGTACGTGTGCTCTCCAGTGGTGGCAAACCAGTTACTGCTAACACTACGATGGCTTTTGCCTACATTCGTCTTGACGCAAATGCTGCTTTTCAGTGAGAGGCTAGGGAAGTAATAAATTTTCCACATGTTCACAGACTTCCTGAATTCCATCCATGGGGCCTGGAGAGGGGAGGAGGAAGGGAGGAGAGGGCCGAGTCCAGTCTAGCCCGCCTCCAGCACTTGCACACAAACCTGCTCTGTGCAACTGATCTAGGTGGGAAAAAAGCCTAAGCAAAGGCCAAGCTTTCATAATTAATAGCAAGTCTCTGGCTCATTATTTGCTGGCTGGCAAAGACAGTCCAACAAGAAAGCCTGTTAGAACTTGGGAGGCAGAGGCAGGCACATCTTCTGAGTTTGAGGCCAACCTGGTCTACATAATGCGTTCCAGACCAGTCTGGGCTACACAGTGAAAATGCAGTTAATTAAATTAAAAATAGTTTCATTAAAGACACCCAACAGCTGGTTACTGGTCCCCAATTAAGGATTGTATATCAGCACAGTCCTAAGGCCTGGACCCAGAGCCCTCTGCACTAAGCTACACAGCAGTCCATGGAGTTATCTAATCTGCTATTATTTGGGGTTTAAGGCCTAGAAGCTCAACCTCATCCTGCTGAAAAGTTGGAAGCCAGAATCTCCAGCCTCCTAGAGCCACTCAAAGTTAACTTGTGCATAGCTATTTCAGTTGTTGGGGACCATTTACAACATACTATCAAGAAGTCAGTATCAGTAACTGTCCTTCCTCTCTCTCTCTCTCTCTCTCTCTCTCTCTCTCTCTCTCTCTCTCTCTCTCTCACACACACACACACACACACACACACACACACACCTTTACAGAGTATCACACGGCAGGTTGAAAGAGACAAACCACACAAGAAAACATGATAACTTTTCCACTTTTCCCTTTGAACGAACGGCATGCTGCTCCCAGGGTGGTTTAGCCTCCCTCTGCAGACAACTTGCAGCTTGTGCCATTTATAGCAGGTGCTTTCAGGCCCGCCTGGCCATCTGCTTTCGTATATTGAACGATACTCTCTCCAGACCAGTCCGGCTTTGTCCTGGCCTGGTCCCTGGGGGGTCGCTTCCGTGTGGGTGTCTGAGCTGGGCTGGGGAAAGGAACCGAGCTGTTCTCGGCAGGGGTCGATCCTACCCGAGGCTAGCCAGGGGAAAAGAGACGCCTTTACCTGCAAGCGAGCTGATCCCTATAGTCCCCGTGGCGCTTGGGCTCAAGGACGGCTAGGTCGCTTTTTTTTTTCAAAGGGCGGGTGAAGCGCGCAAAGGTCTGGAGAGGATAGCAGGGTATCCTCCGCAGCTCCAGCGCCGGCCCCGCAGATTTTTGTCGTGATCAAGTTCCTGCTTCCGTTGCAGCGACTGAAAGTTTGCACGGGGGAAGGGCGCGTCCCTGCCCTGCAACCCGGAGCTGCTTCCCAGCAACATCCAGCTTGACTGCCCCAGCCGGGACGTGCGAAAGCCCAGGCTCGAGGTCCCCAGCTTCCCGCGTCGCCACAGAACCCAGCATACTGCGAGCCACTAGAGGGAGAACTTCGGACCCTCCGGGTCACCAAGGGTCTGCAGCTGTGCTGCCGGGCCTCGGAGAGGCCCTGTAGAGCAAACGCACAGGTGTTGGTGAGGAAGTCATACACACAGGTGTACTCTGCCCCACTCCAGGGTCGCAATCTTCTTGTCCTTCGCTTCAAAAGCAACCGCCTTAAGCGACAGTTGCTGCCTTTTGGTTGTAGGCAAGGATGACCTTGAACTCCTGATCCTCTTACCTCTATTTCCCAAGTGTAGGAACCCCATTTGGTTCAAGAACACTTTCTTGGTTAAAGTTCACAGTGCATCCTATTTGGGCATAGTTGGGAGGATCCTATTTCCATAACTGGAGATCAGAAGGGGCCTCAATCACAGCTGGCGGTTCCCAGGCAACCCTGGGGGAAGGCATTTGGCTTTGGAGGTGGTGATGGTGGTGGGGTTCCTGGGTTGATGATGTTGCTGTGTGTTGTTCGTTTGTGTTCATTTTTTTTGTTTTGTTTTTTGATGTTTTTTGTTTGTTTGTTTTTCCTTCTTTGAGATAGGTTCTCACCAGTCTGGCTTCTTCATAAGTAACTGAGGATGCACTTTTAAGTCCCGATCTTCCTACTTCTACCTCCCAAGTGCGAGGATTACAGGGGCACAATTCCAGTTATGATTTGTTTATGGGCGTGGAGAGTAATGATGAAGGCAATGATGTCCATTGTCATAGTTAAAATGGCGTCCCTAGACAATTAGCATAGTATGTTGTATGGCAGAGTTGTTAAATGTGTTTAACTAAAATGTACTTGCTGCCAAATGAATGTCAAATGCACATTGGGGGTTAAAGTAGCTCTCATCCACCTCCTTCCCTCACCCTTGCTTGCATATAACTCCAAACAAATGAAACCTCACTAAAACGCTGGTGTAATTTGGTCTAACTTTCATCACTTTTTTGGGTGTGAAAGTTCTCAAACTGTAGTTATAGAAGATTATTCTAGGCACGCTTAGCCAATGGATAAGCCCAGCTTTAACCAATAGATGCAGGAAGTATATGTGGCCAGAGAAAGCTTGGGAACAATGAACGGTCTACCATGTGAAACCATCTCATGGTAGGTAGAAGGTGACCTACTTTCCAGTTATAGTAATGTTGCCATAGCTTGGTACCAAAGAGCTGCCAAGGAAAACCAGACTCCAGTGTGGATTAATTACTTCACTGGGATAATTTTCCTGCTGCAAACAAGACTCCAAGTATGCATACTCCCATCTTTGTAGATGATATGGTTGGGGGTGATGGGAACGAAGCAACTCTCCATCACCAGAAACTTCAGGTTGCAGGGTGTTTCCATACCGGCCTGTAACCCCCAAACTCAAGATGGGGAAACAGGAAGATCAGGCCTGTAACGAGTACGGACTATCTCACTACACAGGCCATCCTTGGTTGCATAGCCAGGACTTCATGAGGCCCTGTCTCAAATGACAAAGAAATGCCAGCTTTAGTGTTCCACTACAGTGGACTTGTTATGTGCCTCAATTACAGCAGTGAATAAAGGTCACCGATGAAAACAATGACTAAACAAAACTTCTTGGAGCTGGGCCTGGAGGCACAGGTTTGCAATCCCCTCTAAAGGTTAGATAGCAGAACCACTGCTGTGTGGGCTACAGGGTGATTTTAACTAGTGGGAAATTTAGTGAGACCCTTAATGGTTAAGAGTTCATGCTCTTCCAGAGGAACCAAATTTGGTTTCCAGCACCCACATCAGGCAGCTAACAACTCCATATTAAACTTTTTTTTTTTTTTTTAAGATTTATTTTTGCAGGGCATGATGGCATGCACCTCTGATCCCAGCACTCAGGAAGCAGAGGCAGGTGGGTCTATGTGAGTTTGAGGCTAGCCTGGTCTAAAGAGCGAGTTCCAGGATAGCCAGAGATATAAGAAACCCTATCTCAAAAAAAAAAAAAAAAAAAAAAAAGGATTTAATTATATGTATATGAATGTTTGCCTGAATGGATGTATATGCACCACATGTGAGCATATCCAGTATCTGGAAGGACAGAGAAAGGTATTGAATCCCCTGGAACTGGAATTACAGCAGTTATGGGCCACCTTCTAGGTGCTGGCAACCAGACCCAGGTCCTCTGCAAGAATAGAAAATGCTCTTAACCACATAATAATCTCTTTACTAACATATTCAAGGTCCTAATTTCAATTCACAGAATAGTAAAAACTATAAAATAAACATTTCACAATTCTGTTGATATAAGACAGATGATTAAATAGAAACCAAATCTGTCGCTACCTTGTTGCATGGTGAGGTTTGATTATGTTTTTGAAATGGGGTCTTGTTATGAAGCCCAGTCTAGCCTAGACTCAGGATCTTCTTTCCTTTGCTTCTTGGGTGCTGGGATAATGTTACCCTCTTGCACTGCCTGGTCCTTGAAACCTGACTGGAGTGATGAGAGAATGAAGGTAGGACAGACACATGGACATATGTACAGAAAAGCTGGGATCCAGAGGAGGGCACCAACCACTACAGCAACAGCAAACCAAAAAGTAAGTGCTCTAGGTTGAGGAGATGCTCCTTGGCATACAGCTGACTAAGGAGGCAGAATTAGCTAATTTTGGTAGGAAGACTGGCAGGGGCAGTCCCAGGCTGCTGTGTGGCAATATTTTGTTTATGAGCTAAGCTATTAGTTAGGCACACACCTAGTTAAGAGCTAAGTCACTAGTTATACACACACACACACACACACACACACACACACACACACACCAGTTACTAGTTAACCACACACCTAAATCACAAGTTAGCCATAGAGGACAGGCAGTGGTGGCCACATTTTTAATCCCAGCACTCGGGAGACAGAGGCAGATGGATCTCTGTGAGTTCAAAGCCACCCTGGGCCACATGAGAGTGAATCGGTCTAAAAGAGTAGCGGAGCTCACACCTTTGATCCCAGCACTTGGGTTGATGGGTTGACAAAGCTTTAATCCCAGCACTAGAGGGGAATATAAGGTGGGAGGAGACAGGAGCACTCTGTTTAGTGGAGAATAGTGCAGTCTGGAGATGCAATCTGAGGACTGGATCGCCCCTTCAGTCTGAGCATTGGTAGAGGTAAGAACTCTCTAGTGGCTGACTGCTTTGCTTCTCTGGTCTTTAGCACCAACCCCAATTATCTGTCTCTGAGTTTTTATTATTAAGACCAACTATTATTCATTCTATGCTGCAGCCATCCTGGAGAGGAAGCTTCGGTTAGTAGTTTCTCCACGCACAGCGTTTGAACTTGGACCACAGAAAGCCTTTGCAATCCCTATGAGCCTCACCGGGAAAGCTTTGCTACTCCAGTGAGTCTGAGGCACTGAGGCCTTGACATGGCTGTGCTCATGTCAACATCACAGTAACCCAGGGCTTCATCTCCTCCTTGCCCATTTACTCAGGGCTCGCTCCAATCCCCACAGCATTACAAGTGTGTGCCATTGGGTCTGGCACCTCAAGAGGTGTTTGATTCTTTTCCGTGAGAGTTAAGACTCCTGTCTACATGAAAGCACAAAAAAAAGTGTTTTATTAGGAGAATATCTGTTACGTACCTCATAAAGAAATCGAAGACTAAGACACTGGGCCTGACTTCAAGATGCTTCTAGTTCAATGAGCGAGACAGATACATCAATGGCTGTGGAAGAACAGATATTACCATAGAATATGCTAATTAAGGAATCTTGGAGGGTGATCTTCCAAGAAGAGGTATATAAGTTAGATCTAAAAAGGACGCTCAGCTAGCTAAATAAGGAGGAAGAGGAGAAACAAAAATGAGTAATCCATAGAGAGGAAACAGACCACTCAGGCACCAGCCCATTTGGCAGGAAAGTTGCCTGTACATCAAGGAAAAAAAAGGATATTAGAATATACTAGTATTCTGGAAAATTCTCTCTGCTTGCTACATGGAGAATAGACTGAAGGAAGTGAGTTCAGAGGCCTCTGACTTCCAAGAAATGAAAGAAATGACCTTGAATTTGGAAGTGGAAATAAAGGAGGAATTAAGAGACAGGCTCTCTGGGACTTAGTGGCTGCTCAGATGCGCCGGTGAGGCCAAGTAGACTTTTGGATGGGAGACCGGGTGGGTGGATGTGCTGGGTAATATAGGGAGGAAGCACCAGGCTGGAGGAGGCATAGGAACAAAGAAAGTAAGGGGACTTTAGTTTTGGGTAGCTCACATCTTCTCTGTAGGATCAAGAATAAACCACTTCACTGGAAAATCAAGACAGGCTTGATGGCACAGCCCTATAGTCCCAGGGCTTGAAAATTTCTGTAAGTTTACCGTACACCTGGGCTACAAAGCAAGACCCTGTCTCAAACAACAAAATCCACAGAAAATTAAAAAGTTTTTCTTATGTGATATATGACTAATTCATATGAAAGCACCATTAACTTGGAAAGGCTGTTCATACATGTAATACATACTCACATGTAAGTGATGCTAAGAGGCATCAATCACAAATGGAGGAAACTTATTATACAAACACTCATTTTCTTGTCATTGGATTGGACTGCAAGTTTCTTAAGCATACGTCTTGTTGAATCTTTTCTTCTTACCTCTAACATGTGCCTAGCACCTGACAGGTTCCCAGAAAATGCTGAGCCAGCAAGCAAGGGCATACTAAATTCCACATTACATTAAATCCACCCACTTAAAGTGTATGCTTCAAAGACTGCAGAGAGAGATGGCTCAGCAGTTACAATTGTAACTGTAACAATTGTAACTGTACAATTGTAACAATTGTAACAGCTCTTTTAGAGGGCCTGAATTCAGTTCTCAGCACTCACATTGGGTAGCTGACAACTGGCTGTAATTCTAGTTCCCAGATATTTGATACTCTCTTCTGGTCTCCACTGATAAACCCCAACCCCTATCCCCTGCTCCAAATAAAATAAAGTTTAGAAGGAGGAGGAGAAGAAGAAGAAAAGGAGGAGGAGGAGAAGAAGAAGAAAAGGAGGAGGAGGAGGAGGAGAAGGAAAGCACTTTTTAAAACATCTTCCCTCACCATTCTATACCTGGTCATGATAGCACATACCTGTAATCCCAACATTCAGGAGGATGAAACAGGAGGATCATCTGATCTGGACTTGTGTATCAAATATTAGATGAGAGAGAGAGAGAGAGAGAGAGAGAGAGAGAGAGAGAGAGAGAGAGATTGACACAAAACCCTGACACAGCACACCAAAACCCAGACAAAGCAAAACATATTCTACGAGCCTATGATGGGTAAATTTTATGTCTATCTTCATATTCCTACAAAATACTGAACTTGAAAATCTATTTGCATTCTTGCCATTGCATTGTAAAGGGGATTGAAGCAAGAACCAGCTTTGAAATCATAGTCCCAAATAGTCCCACGTCTTACCACCTGATAACTTTGGAAATTACATATTTATTGGTCTTAGAGCTGTGACAATTAAAAGACTTGAAACAGGGAGCATGTTTGTGTTACAGACCACCTTTATTCTCCATTGGTAAAACCGGTAAATATACCGGTTATAGAGGTGGTTAGTCGAAGGTCACCCGGGGCTACAGTGTGCGGGTCCAATCACAAAAACAAAAACATAGTCCATTTTGCAAAGTTATTAGAAGATCATCGGGGTCACGATGCTTAACCTGTGGTTCTCAAAGCTTCACCCTCTGGACACCTTTGGCCTTGGAGACGCCTGGCCCTTTAAGACGGAGCCGCCCCAACCTTCAGCGCGCGTCTCCCCGCCCCGCCCCTCGGATTTGGGGGCGGGAACCTCCGAACCCGGAACTGATGGCTCCGCGTCGCCGGTGCGGCCAATCGGCGTCCCGGAAGGAGCGAGTTTAGGCGACTGAGCCAGTGAATGACAGCAGCGCCGCCCGCCGGTCGCAGCCGCGGCCCCGCCGGTGTCCCGAGCCTGCTGTCAGCGCGGCGCGCCTTCGTGCCGCGCCTGCCCGCCCGCGTGCCTGTGGCCCAGCGGGGCCTCCCCGCTCTCCCCGGCCCCTGCCCCGCTTGTCCCTCCGCGGCCGGCGCCATGGGCAGCGAGCAGAGCGCGGAGGCCGAGAGCCGCCCCGGCGATCTGAACGCCTCAGGTCGGTGCCTCACCTCCCGCCCGGGCGCTGCCCGCGGAGCCGGCGGGCCCACCGTGCGCCCCAGCGCAGAAAAGGCGTGGCCTCCCGCCCCAGCCCTGCTCCCCGAAACCGGCACGCTCAGTCTGTACGAGACGCTCGGGAATGGAATGATCGCCCGAGATTTGGCTCACTGAGGATGGATACCACCCAGGCCCTCTAAGATCAGGCTTTCTGATAAAACGCCGGGGGTCGAGGTTCCTCTAGAGAAGGGACCCATGATCGCTGGGCCGCCACCTTCAATGTTTGGGTGCATATGTTTCCAGAAACTGCTTTTTCCACTCAGGTGTCGGGCCTGTTTTTGTTTTTGTTTTTAAGTTGGTCAGATAGCAGGCAAGGTCTGGTGTATCTTCTGTTGTCCATTCCCCCCCCCCCCCAACTTGGTAACTAACATCTGCCACTTAGAAACGTGGAAGCTACAGATGTAGGGGATGGTGGGCATTCCTCTGAGACAGTGCCCTCCAGATCCGCTGTCTGGGAACTTGTATCTCCTTTGCCATGTTTTGTTTCCTTGGAAAACCCAGAGTGTCATCTCTTACTTCCTTCTGTCTATGCCTGGCCAGAAGCATAGTTTAGCGGAAGCAAGGTGGCATCCTTTAGCTTTAGCACTGTTGCTCATCTGGTAACCAACAATCTAGGCTTATTCCTGAGAGAATTTGCACACACTCCTGTGCCAGGTGCTTTACATATGCTTATGTGTAGTATTTAAAGTATCCCCATTTTTTTTTACACACATCTTTACCCATTTTATGCATAAAATAATAGAGGTGGACTAGCATGCTTTGAAGTCCCCTTTCCCTTGGTGTCTGGGGAAAGGAGGAATCATGTTAGTTTGTAGCAGGAAAGATGTTTTGGTACTGCTTTTGTAAAATATTAGATAATCTACCAAGCCAGGATAAGCTACTCCTGAAAAGCAATAAAAGTAGCAGAGATACCCCCACCCCCCACCCCTGTGCCCTCCTTCAGGACAAACACCAAGTATCAGGAGAGGCTAGTTTCCAGAAGGCAGAGTAGCTCTGTGGTATCTATCCTCAGAGCAGACTGATGAGCCCGAGTATACCTATTGCCTACTAGAACCTTCCAGTATAAGACACCACAAGGATTCGTTCTTGCTCCAACCAGGAGGATGTTTGGCTGAGATGTCTTGTTCTAGGGAATGCTTGGGGGGGGGGCGCTGAACTTCTTTCCTCCTAAGGAACCTGAAGTTGACGTGCTTCAAGCACCTCCGGTTTCCTGAGTGGAAAATAATTGTGTTGAGTGACCCTGTTATTCTTTCACTAATGCTGCACTAAGGCTCATTGGAACCTTAGACTTATAATTTGGGTTTGAAACCCGAGGTTTTGGGTACAACCGGCTCCATTCAGCACACCTGGATGGCTTTCGTAGGTTAGAGAGACAGCTTTGCATTCTGTATCACTAAGAGTCCTTGTACCAAGGGCCCAGAGACCTTCAGTACCTTTCCTAACTCTGTTTCTAGGCCTGTTGGCCTTGGGCAAGTCCCAGACAGTGTGGTTCCTTCATTTGTAAACTATGGACATATATCAGATCAGGACAATAAAAAAAGGAGGCATTTGTGTATTGAATAGTAAAATGCTTGGTTATACAAGAATTTCATACATGTTATAGTGTTTTTTAAGTGTGTGTGTGTGTGTGTGTCTGTAATAGGAAATAGAAGTTCTGGGCTAGGGTCATAGCTCAGTGGTAGGGCACTTACCTATTATTCAAAAGGCCCTGTTTATAATCCCTTGCACTACAAAAGAGAAAGTAGAAGTTCCCTACAGTCTACCTATGCCAGCCGCCCCCACTACAAAATGACGACTTTTTGAGACAGTGTTTCATGTAGTCTAAGCTGATCTACTGTATATTAGTTTATCATTATGTGTATAGGTGTTTTGCCTGCATGCATGTTTATGCACCACATGTATGTAGTGTCTGAGGAGGCCATAAGAGGGCACTGAATCCACTAGAAGTAGAGTTACTTTTTTATTTTTTTTGAGACAGGGTTTCTCTGAGTAGCTTTGTAGACCAGGCTGGCCTTGAACTCACAGAGATCTGCCTGCCTCTGTGTTACTAGCACTTTTCCTGCCAGCCTGGTCCCACAGCCCCATTAGCTCCAAATAACACACAGGGACACTGTATTAGATATAAAGCTGTTGGCCAGTTACTAGCGTTTCTTATTGGCTAGCTCTGTCTTAAATATTAATCCATTTCTATTAATCTGTTTCTACATGGTCTTTTCTTACTGGAGAAAGGGTCAGGACCCCTTATCTTTCATCCTACCTACATCTTGACTCTCCTACTACATCTCCCAGAATCCTCCTTGTCTCTTAGTCCCGCCTACCTTGCCTTCCTATTTGCCAACAGTACTTTATTCATTAATCAATAAGAGAAACATATTTACAGAGTGACATCTCCCATCACCTCTGCCTCCTCAGTGCTGTGATGAAAGGCATGCACAACCACCACCTGCTACAAATAGTTTTGAACCAAGACGCTGGGACTTGAACTGGCGTCTTCTGGAAGAGTAGCCAGTGCACTTAACCAGTGAGCCATATCTTCAGCCCCTGGTCTTGAATTATTATCTTCCTGTCTCTATCTCGAGTGTGGAGGTATGAGCCACTATATCCAGTTTTATGACCAGCTGAATTACATCCCCTCATAGTCACTTGTTTAGTTTTACTTATTTATGTATTTTTACTTATTTTGACACAGGGTCTCACTATGTAGCTCTGGCTGTCTTGGGATGCACTATGTAGACCAGGCTGGCCTTGAACTCACAGAGATCCGCTTTCCTCTGCCTCCCACTTGCTGGGATTAAAGGTGTTTATCACCATACCAGCATTTCCTTATAGGTTTTTGTTGTTGTTGTTGTCACTATTTATTTGTTTTTAAAATTTAATCCACTTCAACATTTCAAAGACAAAAAGTAGGCATGACAACTCTTAGAAGAAGTGGTTTGTGATTTTAAGTAAGGATGGCTTTGATGAGAAGCATGTATATTAAGACTAGAAGGATCTCTGTGTAATGTGAACTACCTTCTAGTGACTGCTGGTGGGCAGTGGTGGCTCTCCAGCATGCGGTTCCTGATCTGTGTCGCTTGATTTGCAGTGACTCCATCTCCAGCTAAACATCGGGCCAAGATGGATGACATCGTGGTCGTGGCTCAGGGCTCTCAGGCCTCCAGGAATGTCAGCAATGACCCTGATGTCATCAAGCTGCAAGAGATCCCAACCTTCCAGCCTCTTTTAAAAGGTGAGGGTTACACTTTGTGTCATCTGGACTGCTGGGGAGGTTTATAGATGACCCTGCTACTCTTCCCACACATATCTGTATTCCTTACTCTTTGCTTCTTTCTTTAATTGGCGTCTTCTCTGAGAAGTCTTCTTTGACTGCCATGTCTGAAATTGGAGTCTCTTTCCCTGCCTTTTTTCTTTTCTTTTTTTCCTGTAGCACTTAATCACCTCTGAAATACTGTAACTAGAAAACATTTTCTTATGTGTATCTGTTTGTTGTGTATGCGTGTGCATGTCACGGCCTGCTTATGGAGGTCAAGGGCGGCTTTTGGGAATGCGTTCTTTCTTGTCATCATATGGGTACTAGGGATCGAGGCAGGTCATCAGGCTTGGCACCTTTACCATTGACCCAGCCCAGTTGGTTTACTGTCCGTATTTCCCTTTTGCAATGTGAGCTCCATGATGACAGGAACTTTCTGTTTCTTTCCACTATTGAAGCCCAGCACCCAAGGAAGAACAAGATACAAAATAAGGATCAAGTAAATTAATGAACGAATTGATGTTACTGGAGGTGGCCCTTCACCATTATATTTCCACATGGTATATGTTGATTAGTTCAGACCCATAGGAAAGTTCTATCGCCATTAATGTACTGGTAATTAGTTCTGGCAACTGTTTTACATGAGAGAAAAGTTTGCTTATGAGAGGAGAGATGACCTGGTCACATATTTCAAGGTGCTTTATGCAAAGACCATTAGTGTTTTTATATCTCCATTAAATGGAGTTTATTTTCTTGATCTTTTGTGTGGGTGTGTCTGAACGTTGTATGTGTACATATTTGGAAGCCATAGGTCAACCTCCTGTGTTCTCAGGAGCCATCCACTTGTTTTTTGAAACAGGGTCTCTCACTGGGACCTGGGACTTGCCAATTAAGCAAGGCCAGCTGTCATCATGGGTCTGGCTGTCCCCACACACCCAGAGCTGGGGTGTGCTACCACATCCAGCTTTTCATGCTGGGGATCGAACTCAATTTCTGACACTTGTGTGAGGAGCACTTTACTGACTGAGCTGTCTCCCTGTTCCTGGAAACAATTTCCTGTGAACTGAATGTTGCTTCTGCTATATGAGTTCTTCAGATTCCTTGCCTCTACCGCTCACAAAAACACCCAAAACAAAACCTAAGCAATAATGAGCATAAGTAAGGCTGTGGTTTACACAAACTGTGTCTTCATTTTTTTTTTTTATAACAATACACAGACTGAGAAATGTATAAAGAAAGGAGGTTAATTTACCTTGTACTTCATGATGAAGACCGTGGCTCTGGTATCATCTTGGCATCTGCTGAGAGCCTCCTTGCTGGGTCATGACATGAAGGAGGATATCACTTCACAAGGCAGAGCAAGCTGCCAACTTGATCTCTCTTTCTCTTCAAATAAAGCCATTCGTGTAGTCATAAGGCTCCACCTCCATGACTATGCCTTACCCTGGTTACCTTCCTGGTTACCTTCCAAAGCCCCCCTCCAAATCCCATTAACCTATGATTTGTGGGGAGTAAGTTTCAGTATGAACTTTAGAGGTAGCAAATGCCCAGACAAGAGCAAGCTGGTCTCATAGACTGGAATAAAGCATCTTATGTAGTTATTTGTATTAGAATGTACCCTGGCTCCACATATATACACATACCATTCTTGTAATTCTTGCATCATTGAGTTTATTTAAGGGATTTGTGCAAGATCAGACATCTGGCAGATAGAGATTGCACTTGAAATTTCTTCACCAATGTCAAGTCCTACACTAGTTGCACCATTCCATGCTGTGTCTAACAAAAACAAAAAGCACATCCAGGTGGATCTATATATATATTCTTCCCAGCAACTCATCTACTTTACAGGTGAGCCCATTCACACTTCCACTCTTCTCTGTGCTGGCCCCCAGACTAGCCTTTGATAACCCTCTACTCTATAAAGGAACATATTACACTCTGTCACGTACTCTCTTCTCCCTCGTTTCCCTTACTCTGAAGAGTAACCTGATTCTCCAAAGGAGCCAACATTAATGAAATCTCTACCTTCACATATACTTGTCCAATCTTTAGAAGCGGAATAGCTGGATATTAATATTCTTCACTCCACCCTCCTGGATCTGCATGGAGTACTGCTCGCAGTCAGTTTTCACATTCCTTCTTCCTGTTAACCCTACCCTCTCACTCCCCAAAGTCTTCCAGTCCTTCACCGGTTTCTGTGACTACTTAGTCTTGACTTTTTTCTTACATTAGGAAAATACTAAAAGCAAACTAGAATTTGAGATATACATAAAAATTTTCTGGGATTAGTTGTTTAATCATTTGAAATGGTTGATATGAGAATAAACTAACTAGTTGGGAAGTGTCTAGGAGAAGACTTGGTGCTAAGGGAAGCTAACCAAGTTAAGGTCCTTCACCGTGAACATGAGTGATGAGTGTGATGGAAGTGAGTGTCTTGCAAAGTGATGCACCTGGACTTGGTTACCCTAGTAACTAGGCTGTAATCAGGTTTTTCCACCATCTAACTTCACTGAGAGTAGGTATAGAGGAGAGGAGAGCTGGTGAAGGGCAGTTGACTCTGAGTGCCTCTCTGGTTTTGGCTAAGGAAGATAGAGAGCTCACTTGATTAGAAATGGCAGTGTATGGCTGCACTTAGACCACAGGCACAAACAAAAGGCACTGAGTGTTTACAGATGCTTGTGTGCCATCTGTGAACAAGCAACCTCTTGGATTGTGATTGGAAGAGACAGGCAGACAGGAAAACTGAGTAGCCTAACGATAATAAGTGTTCCAACTCCCCCAGTACTTCCCCACGAGAGCTATTTTGTTTTCTCCTTTCTAGATTAAAACCTTGGCATTCACCTTAAATTCCTGACCTCACTAACATCACTAGCTGTATCAATAGCCATTCTTTAGATGGGACATGCCGGCCGGCCGTAGAGTAGGGATTGTTCCCATTGCAACAGAACCTGTTGAATAAATCACAGAGGGCCTAGGGAGATTGTGTGTGTGAGCTTGTTTGGATTTTAGGTGCCAAATTTGTGGCAGAGCCTCATGCTTTGACATTGTTCTGCTTTGTAATTTAAAGCTCTGGCCCCCGCCTGCTGGGCCGTTGTAGGACTTGAAGGCAACTCATTACCGTTGCCTTTATACTGCCATCTCTTTGTACCCCCTTGCTTGCTTTCAGGGTGAGGCAATTTCTTAAAGTAGTTTTTTAAAAAAGGCCACCCAGTGAAGGCTGTACCCCCCAGGTTTGATTTCAGAAAGCTTTTATTCAAGTTAATGACAGTTTATTCTTTCAAGACAATATATTCAACCATTACAGAGTTCACTATTGTTCCATAATGTCATATGAGGTAATCTAATGCTGGTGGGTGATCTGCAGAGGCAGAGACTGGGCGTGTTTGGGGCTATTTGTATGACTGAGGTAATGTTTGCATTTTAATAAGCAAGCAAATTCTTTGGTTTTAACTTTTTTGCATAAATATACCACGGTATAATTTATGCTTTATGACACAAATATCTGTTCCTCTCATTTTTTCATGTCAAAGAATTTTTATTTTTTTCATAACAACCTCTGAGTTAGCAATTTATTTTCATATGTAAAACACTAGGAAATGGAAGAAAACTAGAAAGTAGCAATGTGGGTATGACAGAACACAGAAGCAAATTGTTGATTTCATGTACGCTACTAAGATTCCAATGAGGTAAATTAGCCCTACACATTTCTTACTTAAAATTCAACCACTCATTTTTTTTAAAAAATGAAGCTGAATGTATTCTATATCATTGTATAGGAACGAAACACTCACAAGAGAAATGCAATATTGTTTTTATGTTAAAGTCACAAAAACATCCTATTTGCTTTTGGTGGATGAATAGATGCATAAACACACACGCAACATTGTTTGTGACTGACCTACCATTTTTGTTCATGACCTTGGATATAACATAAGGGGTTGTCTTACAGCCTAAGAAAGGACTGTCCTTGTTATCAGTCAGGAAGGTCCAGCTTATACAACGCAAATGCTTGAGTGACACTAAGCAGCTTTGTTGGGTGTTTGGAGAGTGGGTGTTAAGAACAGAAGGCATGTAAAATGGGCTCTGATTATTGAAGAGCTTGGAGCTGGGTGAGGGGTGCATGCCTGAGGTCCTAACTCCAGGAGGCAGAGGTAGAGAGAGAGCAGCGGTGTCAAGCCTGGGCAGAAAAGACAAAGAAAAAGAAAACAAAAACAAAGAAACAAAGCCAGCCTTTTGGTCTTTTCTTGGTGGAGCTAAATCACATAGAACAGCAGTGAAGGGTCTCAGACCCTTGGAACACTTGGATCTCTGAGAACTATACATAGTTGGGAAGAGAATGAAGCCAGGGAAAGGATGAGAAAGACAAGAGGAAGTGAGATCTCTCTCTCTCTCTCCGCCTCTCTCTCTCTTTCATTTTTTGAGTCAGGCTTTCTCTATGTAATAGTCCTGGCTGTCCTGGAGCTCACTTTGTAGACCAGGCTGGCCTCAAACTCACTGAGATCCATCTGCCTCTGCCTCTCAAGTGCTGGGATTAAAGACATATGCAACTGCCACCTGGCTGTGAGGTGTCTTATGACCAGTTTCTGCACCATGTACTATCCCTCTTCACAACCAGAATTCATCAGACAGCTGTCTCTGCCAGCTGCCAGACGTCACTGAATTGGAAAATGGTGTACCAAATGATAGGCTGAGAGAATGGATCTTGTTTATTTTTTTGACTTTCTTTTGTATTTATTCTTGTGTTTTTCACATCATGCATCCTGAGCCCACCAGAGAACCGATCTTAATCAGAGCCGAAGTCTTCTCTGAATAGCTCAAAGCCAAGCACAGACTGATCTTAAATACCGTTTCTCTCAGACATCATGTTGGGAAAGTTCGTGGCTTATTCCTGAGTACCTTGCAGATTTATGTGTAGTAGCTGTTGAGGTAAGCTTTTAAACATGAATTATTCACGAAGAAGACCCAGCCTAAATGAG